ACCTAGAAAGTATTATCCTAAGTGAAAGAAGCCAAGCAGAAAAAGACAAATACCACATGATCTCACTTATATATGGAATATAATGAACATAACAGTCTGAGGAATACAGTAGACCCAGAAACATGGAAGTAGGGCACAGACTGACATCCCTCAGAAGAGGGGGTGGGGGGGTGGGGGGTGGGAAGAGATAAACCACAGAACTTATATGCATGTATGCATGACCAATGGACATGGACAACTAAGCCGGGGACGGGGCGGAGGTGGGGTGGGGTGGGGGGTGCCAATGGGGTAAAAAGGTAAAATATCTGTAACAAAACAATAAATAAAAAATTCATTAAAAAAAAGGATTAAGGATTTCTATTTTTATCTATTATTATCCATGCATTAAGATTGACTGACTGTTACAACAAACAATCCCAAAATTTCAGTAACTTAAAACAATAAAAGTTTATTTTATCCTCACAATGTAGTCCAACGTGGGTGTTCCTGGGAGGTCTTCCTCCAATGAGCGACATGGAAACCTGTACCCCTTCCATGGTGTAGCTCCATCTTTCTCTGTGTCTTGGGAGCCCTCCCAGCTGATAGGGAAAGAAGACAGAGGCTCATACTAGGCAGGGTTTATGGACCATTCCCATCTACATTCTATTGGCCCACACTCAGCCACATGGCCACACTGAACTGCATGAGAATCTGAAAAATGCCTACCCATGTCCCTGGGTTATATGTACATATATGTTCTAAAACTCTACAGTGCTCACACACACTGCAAAACTAAAGTAAATTAAATACTTTAGAATTTAAAATATTTGTTATGAGTGCTTGTAAACAGGAGGGTAAAACCATAATTTTCAAAAGACAAAGTAAAATATTATATTTGAGACCCTAATTCTAAATCCCCAAAAATAAAAAGCTGTTTATCCCTAGAAAAGTCATTAAAACCTCTCCAGGTCACAATTCATCTCCAACTGAGTGAATTGGTCTGGAAAATTCCCAAGGTTTCTACCTGATGTAATCTTGTAAATAAAGCAATTTACTACAATTATGGCCAACCCTGATATTGAGAGTATTAAAGGAATAATTTGAAAATAATCTACAATAATTTGATCACATTTTCTAATTAGAAGTGACAGGATTTCTACTTACTGAACCACCATTACTGGATACATAATTAAAAGGTTACAATTTACCCAAATACTCCAGCCAAAGGATAGGGAAAAAATTTCATAATCTCATTGTGTTGCGAATGTTTGAGGTTTATAGTGACTGCCAGATTTTTCCTGGGCACCTGGAGTGCTATTAAAAATTTACCAGAAAGAACCAACTCTCTTGGGTTTAGAAGAGGGAGAAGAAATTTGTTTATTTTGTGCTAGTCATCTTTTCCCCTCTACTTTGGTTGCTTTTCGTTTACCCTTGATAGTGTGTCTCTCCCCATGTCTCCCATAGTGTCTTATTATACAGGTGTCCGGGGCAAGTTGATCTCTGAGGTAGCCAGTAGCTGGTTCTTTTTGCTTAGCTACAGTACAAGGAGAAATTATGTTACTGTTTGTAGAGGACATGTGTAGCTGCTAGCATACACTCTTAGTCTATGTTACTATAAGCTTAAAAACTTGATAAATGTGAGGACAACAATGGCTATTCGGACGCTGCAAGGTAAACACCTAATTTCAAAGTTTCTTTGTGTAGCAGCAGAGGAGGTATACTTAACAGTAATGTGCACTTAGCACCAGGACACGTGGATGAGCTTGGTGGTCTCTGCGTACGTGTAACAGTGATTGACACCAGAGAAGCTCATACACTGAGAAAGAATGACTCAGTTACAGAAGATTTTTGTCAAACTAAAAACTATCATTTGAGATCTGCCTTCATTTTTAGCACAGCTACTTTTTATAAGCTTCAGTTCCTCATCTGGTCTCTTTCTCTACTTTCAAATCAAGGAAATTTTTGATGAATGGTAAAAAGTGAATTAAAATCTATATTTTAATGTCTAAAATTGTTACAAAATATTGTCATTTGTAAAAATCCTTAAATATAATTTTTCAATATGCATATAAAAGATTCTTCATGAAAGATCAGCCCAACTCTAAATTACTGTCACAAAAATGAAAACCTGATATTTTGATCCCTAACTCAAAATCCCTATGATTTTAATAAAGCTAAATTTTTCTCAAGATTGTTTCATTAAGGAGTTATTCAATGATGTACCAGAAATATATATATATGAGATACTATGTATATGTACATGTATATGACAGGTCCAAAGCCTTGTTTATCTCCAGAAAAAGAAAACATTTTTAATACATTAAAACACATCAAGGATGTGTCAGGATTGGGAAAAGGGATCTGTATTTTCATTTCTACTCTATTTTTCAATGTTTCTTTTGGGGGCTATAATTTCTTTGAGAAAGTATCTCCAGGGAGAATTCAATTCTCATCCTCACTTACACACTCCGCTCACTCTCGCACCTCCTTACCCATCACCAAGGTAGAGGCAGAAGCCACAAAAGAGCCCGGTTTCTATTGGCTCCGAGTGGGAAGAGGGGGCTGTGCTCCAGCACATACCCTCCTATGTGGAGAGCCCTGTGAAAGCCCCTGTGCAATGCCTTGAGCATCCTGCCAAGAGTGTAGTGTCTCAAACAAGCAGGTGAAGCTGCCACACAAAAACCACACTTCTGCCACTTGCCAAAAAAAAAAAAAAAAAGGCTGGTGTAGGCTCTTCAGCAGGAGTCTTACTGCCCCTGCTGGGAGATGGCTTAGCAAAGCTACCCTGTGGAAGTCACTTCATCTGCCGGCAGTTGGAAGAGAAACGAGATGGAGGGAGTGTTTTCTTCTACCCTGGCCTTGCTGCAATACTGTGAATGTCTTTTTGGAAGAAAACTAGGGAGTTAAATCCCTTCAGTACATTTTTGATCCAGAATTTAAAGCAAAATATCCATCATCAAGGTATTCAAAGAGACCGTCAGAAAAGCTACTTGGGTGTTAGGAACTGTCACGGGCTGAATTGTGTTCCCAAAAATTCATATGCTGAAGTCTTAACCCCTAACCCTGTGCTGGGATTGTGATTGTATTTGCAGAAGTGATAATTAAAGTGAGATATTTGGGTGGATCTTAATCCAACATGACAGGTGTCCTAATAAGAAGTAGAGACTACAGACCCACGTAGAGGAAAAACCATGTGAAAACACAGGGAGAAGCTACACACCAACCTGCATGCAAAAGAGAAAGACCTGAGAAATCGACCCTGTAAGCACCTTGATCTTGGACTTCGGGCCTCTGGAACTCTAAGAACACGTGTGATACTTGGTTACAGCAGTCCAAGCAAACTGATGCAAACTAACAGCTTTCAAAAGGCAGTGAAGTCAGATTATGACCTTAGAACTGAGGTCCAGAACAGTCTTCCCTCTCCAGCACATCATGCCACATGCATCTAGGTACAACCACTCGCTTCTTGGTTTGGGTAGGCCATGCCAGGGTTGCTTCCGGTGATGAACATATGTACGCGCCAATCTGGAGAAACGATTCTCCTACTCAAGCTAAAGAATTCTTATTGTTGCAGGAGGACCAGAGCCTGGTGCCTAAACACCTTGTTTAAATTCTTCATCCACATCTCTGAATTCCAGTCCTGCTGCCTGTATTACCCACTCTAGACTTCCAAAGTCGGCATCCAGGCCTGAGCACCCAAACCCGGCTGCACACTCACAGTCCACCCCTACCTCCGTCTGAGTGCTGACAGCCGACCGGTGTTTCTCACATCGAGGTTTCTGTCTCTTTCCCCCTTCCTGTCTCTCTAAAATATCAATGAAAACATATTTTTAAAAAATAATACATTTGTTTTCTAATTCAAGTCTCAGAGAAAGGAGAATTCTTTGCATCCAGATTAATTCTTGCAAATCTGCTCTTTTACACCCAGTATAGATGATCACAGAGGCCGTGTGACATCACTGACACGTAGAGCAGGCAATGAACGAGTTAAATTAGGCTTCTCAGTTTCAAATCAACTCCTATTGCTTTGAATATCAATCATAAACTTATTTACAAAATACTATGCCATAATAATATAACTTGCTGTTCATTAAATGGCTTTTTCTTTGTTAAAAAGTTCAGATCTATTATTTTTCCTTATTGGTTGTTGGCACTCTTAGTTATCAGGAAAAAAAATATTCTTATAAATAAATATAGATTCTTATAATATGCCTTTATGCTATTTTTAGAAAAATAAGATTACTACAGACACTTCTACTTTTAATTCAGTGTTCAGGTCTTATTACAAGGGAAAGTTGTAGAAAAGGAATAAATCTTTTTTAAAACCTCTCATAACTTTCTTTTTTGGCCTGTTTCAAAATAATAATGGGTTTACTTAAAACAGGAAGTTGAGGGTGATGTCAGGCTTTATCAGAATGGTATATGAGCAAAGAAAATGTAAAGAAATTATTACATTCTTAAATCGCCAAATCCATCTCAAACAGCCCTTGTGATCTGGACAGAAGGGGGAGCTGCTGGAGGGTGTTGGGAAGGGTTTTCGGGTTCCAGAGGTTTTCCCAGCTCCTGGAAGGAGAAGAAAATGTCGTTTGTCTAGTTTGTCATGTTATTCGTAGAAAACACTTAGATTTAGATCCTTCAGTTTGTTGTTGTTTTTTAAGTGGAAATTGCTCATCAATGTCTCTTTGTAAGATGCTATGTTGGACTTAAGAATATGATTTTTTTAAATCAAGTAAAAAAATTACATCTTAGAAAATAGGATTTTTATTTTTATCTCAAAACAAGCTCAGTTCAGAGGTGTCTGTTTACAAACGTTCTTCATTTAATTGGTTTTCTTAATATGAACTAGTATTTCCAGAACTAATTAAAATTTCATTCTAATGAATATTCAAAACCAAATACGTTATCTTTGCAGTACAGTATATAGATTTTTAAGTCATCCATAAAGGTAATTATATTATTTTACCTTCCTGAAAACTCCTGTGTTGTTATTGATGCTAAAGGGGTCGTTTGCTTTTCCTCAGGCCATGATTGAAGAAGCCATCACCAGAGCGGAGTCATTCTCAGTCATGTACACACCGTTCGCCACAAAAATCACAGCGGATAAAGTAGAAAAAGTAAAAGAGGTTTTCACAAAAACTCACCCCGCATATGTGGACTATATCTACACAGGTAAAATTCAATGTCTTCAAGTGATCGGCCGATACTTTATTTCCATTAAAACAAATAGAGGCCCAACTGAAGTGGCTCGGTTGGTTGAGTGTGCTCCTGTGCATCGAACGGTTGCGGGTTCGATTTCCTGGTCAGGACAATGTTTCTCCCTCACATTGATGTCTTCCCTACCCCTTGGATTAAAAGAAAATAGAGAACCATTTCTGGTTTATTTGTTTATTGTTTTGTTTTTAGGGGTATGGTGTTTTCATCTGAGGACTTGAAATGGGACGTTATTTTAGGTTTTAGATAGGCCTGACCCTAAGGGTCTAGTGCAGTACTTCTTGTGCCATCATGTTTCTGTATTTTAAGATGAGGAGTAAAACCTAGAAGCGCTAAGATTTTTAATATAAAGGAATAACCTTTGGTAAAATGCCACCTTTCCCCATATCCTTCATGAGGAAACCAGATGATCATAGTACTTTCTTGCAGACGGATTGTATTTTCCTCTATTGTACCCTCCTTCCTCCATCTATCTCACACTCAGACCTCCCTCTTGCCTCATGTTCTTGATCACTGGTGTCCAAAGGATGTGGAGAGCTGAGCGTGCATAGAGGACATAACACTACTTTTATGCTTTTCCCTCTTTTTTGTCTTTGTAAGCCACTTGCTTTTATTTATTCATTCAAAAATACTTTTTACTGTCTATGCTATACCAAGTGTTATTCTGCATCAAGACGGGGATTTTCGTGTACTAAATCAATAGCTCTTAACAATAAACACCATGTTAAGCAAAATCTCTAAATGCATGTCTAATATCACATCCTCCTATTAAGGCCCCTTCATTCCTTTTATCAGGGCTTTGGGGCCAAGTCACCGGTTTATATGATAAATAATGTATCCTGTTGGTGATTACTTTTATAAAATTTTTTTGTTAATCCTCACCTGAGGATATTTTTCCATTGATTTTTTTCAGAGAAAGTGGAAGGTAAGGAGAGAGAAAGAGAGAGAGAGAGAAACATCAATGTGAGAGAGAGACATCAATTGGTTGCCTCCTCTACCACCCCAGCTGGGGTCAGGAACTGAACCTGCCACCCAGGTACATGTCCTTGACCAGAATTGAACCCTTGACCCTTCACTCAGCATCCAACGCTCTAACCAGTGAGCCCAACTTTCCAGGGCAGTCATTACTTTTTAAATGCCAGGCATTCTATATCCATTACCTCTTGTGATTCTCGTAATTTATGAAGTAGTAAGATGACTCTCATTTAGAAACAAGAAAACGATAATCAGAGAAAGCAAACAGCTTTTCCAAAGGTGCATAGCAAATCAAAGGCAGCCGGCCTTGGATTTGAACCCATGTCCTTGCCATTGAGCTACACTGCTTCCATCTGACAGGAGCAGAGAGGTAGTAGAAGCATTAAATTTAAATCCTATGGAGTCTTTTTTGTTGTTTTCTACTACACCTCAAGCGCTTCAGAAGAAACTAAGTAAATAAATCTAACCAGTGATGATTAGTGAGTCCCTCGGGAGCAATGAGAGTTTGAGGGCAGGGAAAGGGAAGAGAAGGCAGGCAGTGCATGCTATACTGGACATTGGTGCTGATTTACTTCATCTGAATGTTTTGTCAGGAAGTAGAGAAAAATGTTTCAGAACTCACATTTTTTGTTAATTGTGATAAATTGTTTATTATTTTATTATGGATATCTTAGGGCTATTTGGGGGACCATCAATAGCACACAAAAGTCATGTCTATCTAGTGTCATGGAAAATGTATCAAATTCAGCTATTCCCATTTTATTCTCAGCTCTGTTGGTAATGAAGAGATATTCATTGAGATCATCAGTTTGCCAGGCCTCTACTAGTAGAATTAGTTTAGTTACATTTAACCTACTTCCCAGGGAAGTCTTGAAGATTAATTAATACTTAGGAAGCACTGTTGTCACTGATAGTTTAAAAACAATAATAACATTAATGAGCCGGATTCATGTCTCATAACTCTATCAAACCTGTTCTCAAGATGATTTATGATCTGTTGGCAAGATGACTCATGCTAAAGGAATTTATACTTTGGAAGAGAAGATAATTATAAGTTATTAATGGTTGTTTCTATTATTTTATAATTACTAATTGCTGGAGTATGGCAGTGCTGTCTGAGAACCTAGGAAGGAAAGGTACAGCGTCTGGAGAAAGAGGGGAGCTAGAAACGGCAGTCCGGACTTTTACGTTTCTTTGGGACTGGCTAGGTCCTTTGCTCTGTAGAACCTGCACTTTGGACTAACAAGGCTATTGCACTGATGACGCTGCTTGCCTCTGTTCAAATGATGAAAGTGTCCTCCCCAAAGCCATCGCTGGAATCATGGTGACACCACAGCTGTAACTGTGCACAGTCCGAGTAGTATGGCTTCTTTTCCCCCAGGTAATTCCAAGGGGAGTGAAGGCACCACGTCCACGAAGAGGGAAGGTGAAATGCTCTCTTAGCATCGGATTATCTTTCACAGGAGGTGCAGAGCGGTTACTATGGCAGCCTCCAGTGGCCAAGGGCTGTCGTTAGAAAGTGAGTGACATGAGAGAGAGGGCCTAGAAGAGTGGCCACCTTGTTCTGTTGGCACTGCCCAGAAACCAGGATTCTCCTTCTATCCACCTTGTAGATAGAATTTAAGAAGTTTCTATCCTGCCAAAAATTTATTCAGTTATATATTTCAACAAATTGTCATGTAGCAGGTGTGACTGGACAATCACACAGCAGATGTTTAAAACATGAGACTCTTTTTTTTTTTTTTCTTTTACCTACACATATTCATCTTTGGTCTTCCCAGAGACAAAAATATATTCTATCTCATCCTAGGAGGTCTCAGTCCCATCCAATTATTTAGTCTCTCTTTGGTTAACTAATCAAACTCATTAGCTTTCTTCCCCTTTCTTTCCACGGGATTTTCTTCTTCCAGTTTCAACGTTCACAGAATACAAATGTACTCAGTGTCCAAAGGGGGGTCAGTGGGCATGTGAGGAGAGAGTCTTCTTGTAAAGTCTGGTGCAGGTGGATTCAGTGGCTGATTGCATGGCCAGTGCAACTTAAGATCAGCTCTGTTGGCTTGAGCAGAGCCAATGATAGGTTCATTTATATGACATCGTGGATGATCCAAGGGTACCTGTGGGTTCCCCGTGCTGCCTCATGGTGCAGATGTTTCTTTATATATACACCAACCCCCCTGCCACACAAATTGGCCCAACTTAGAGCCAGTCTCTGAGATTCCCTCGCTTTGCCAGAATGCTGGCGTGTAAACGCTCTCACCTTCGGAGTCTTACTCTAGAAATGCTCTCTACTCTATTAGGGACTAGAGGTAGTTTTAGCCCCCTCTCCAACTTGCTATGTTATTCTGCCATTTCTCTTCTCCTTTCTTCGCACACCAGAATCCCAAACTCCGCAGGACAGGACGGGATCTACAATGAAGATGGGTAGTTTATTCATAACACCCTACCAGACAGAACTCTCGTTCCTTAGTCCCTGACTAAGTGGATAGGAACGTGAAACTAAAGAAGCCACAAGACAAAAGCAGCTTGGGTCTTTGAATGGCCATGTGGAAGGTCACCCACTGCATACCCACAAGAGCAAAAAACATAATTCTCTTGCTGTAGATCACTGAGACTTGGGGGTTGTTTAAGTCAGTTAGCTTTATTCTAACTAATTCGCTGCCTTACATCATAACAAGTAAGCAGCTTCCTACTCCTACTACAGTATACACAATAAATTCATGCAAACTCAGTAACTGAATAAACATTCCTCCGTATGAAATCAGCTCCATCCTCAGAAACATTCGGAGCCTGTACACATTCTCTTTGATCTCACATTCACTCATCCTTCCGCAGGCAACTACAGGTGGATACGCTCATACACATGTGTTTGTGCCCACCCAGAAAGATAACCTTTCAGGAGAGACACTGATGCTCCATGAGAGAGAGAACACAATTAGGTAGTTTTCATTGCAGCAAGAGAAATTGAAGCCGCAGCAAGAATTTCTAAATTATAGAGTGCATCTGAACAGTCAACAACGAAGGTCATAATATCTGTACCTCAAAGATCTTGGATGAGGAGTCTACCTATCAAAGTTTTCCTGGATAAGTAGTTGTTATCATTAAAACTTGGAGACTCACTCATTTAATTCTCCCAGCAGGGGCTGGCAGACAAACCTCCGACTCAGAAACTCTGCCCAACTCCAGGTCACCTTCATCAAGCTAGATAGTATTGAATTCATTACTGCTTGATCATGTGACGGTGCCATGAGCCCAGCAATAGCTGGCAGGGTGGTGGGGATGATGAGCAGGAAGAGAAGTCATGATAGACATCCCCAGGCAGTGTATTATCTCTAGCCAATCCCCAGTTCACAGTTACCCTTGTCAGGGATTTCCACGTGGAAAACAGATTCAAAGGGGAAAACTACAAAAATAAATTCATTTTGAAATGCATATAGCTCTAAATATTTTTTTTCAGTGACTAGACCAAATAAATAGTGATTAATTAAGGGAAATCCCCACTTCAGGTAGGCACTAGGACTATATTGCCCTTATAACCTCCATGAGAGTGAAGAAGAAAGGTTAAAATTCAAATCTGCCTTGTAGGACAACCAGGTCTCTACATCCTCAGGAACTTACTGTGCATCATTTGCTATTTTGGGAATATGATAAGCCCACCAAAATCTTAAATCCATATTATAATAGAGCTGTATTGTATTATGTTTTGTGGAGAAAAAAAATTACTGAATTTTTAGCAGTATAGCTATCCATTTTTCTTATTTAAGGAAAAATCCAGTTTGATTCATGCAGAGTAGTCAGGGCATATAAAACAAATAATAATTCACCAGCCCCAGAATTATTATGTTTTCATTTTTAAAGATTTTTCTTGAGATTTTTATTCATATATTCCAATGAAATAATGCAATTCTGTATAATTCTTATTCTTGCATGGCGGTATTTTAATAATAATAAAGTAATACAATAAGCATATCCTGTCTTCTCTTGAT